AATGTGTTTTATGTGCAGTTTGTACAGCACGCATTTGTGAACAGCATGACACACACACACAAATGGCTTTATACGTGCAGATTGCGCAGCACGCATTTGTGATCCTCATGACACACACACACACACACACACACACACAAATCGCTTGTTACAGACAAAACGTTAAACACGCATTTGTAACATTTTTGATAGTATTTTATCTCCATAACATTTTTGATAGTATTTTATCTCCATATCTATCCTTATCTGTCCAGATGACTCCATGAGTATTCCCAGTGTGGTGAGTGAGCATGAGGCCTTCCTGTCCAGGGTTGTATCACAACGGCGTTTCTCCAGCCATGCCACGGGCTCAGCACCCTTACAGTCTGAGGCCCCCCGCACCACTATGTTGCCCAGCCACAGGTAACACACATCAGACACACAAGTACAAACTGCCAAAAGTTGTATTTTTCCTCCAAATATATTTTTCTGTAAAGACAACAAACTTCATGGGTTTGTTTGTCATGTAGTCAACTGTTTGCACAAAAATTGACTTGTAGACTGTAGTCGTCTGTACAGAGTAATGAATGGCAATTTACAGTACAAGCCACCTTGAGTCAAACATTAAATAAAAGATCCCATAAACTGTCCCAAGCTCAAAAACCAGCTCCCACAAAGGTCTACCCAATCAGATTATTTGTTTCCATTTCAAAAAAAATGTTTTTCTGTGTATATCTCTGTTGATTTTTATAGTTTTTTTTTTACTCTCAGTGCAGCATTGTGGAGGACTCTGTCTTAGTAAAACTGAATTCTGTAGCTTTGGCCAGCTGTGGTCAGAGCGAACACCCTGGATTCCCATCCTTGTAAGGAAGGGGCTCAGGGACCTCGGTGATGATGGATCTGGACTACACTCCCTAAACTCCCATTCTCCCCCTTCGCCCCCCTTTTTACAGTGAACCCAATGTGCTAGATGAGTCCCAGGGCCTTCTGCAGGAGGGTAACCTCACTAGGTACAGTGGCCCTCTCTCTCTCTGTGTCCCGTTGGTGCGTTCGTGCATCTATTCGCCAGTGGGAGGGGCATCGCCTCGGGACGACCTCCTCTATTGGCCACCTTGCTGTTAATCACTCATCCACATCCAGTCAAATCACCTTGGCCCGTCACACCTCCTTACACCACACTTTCCTGTCTCTTTCTCTTTCTCTGTGGGTCTATTGTGCTTTGTCTCTGTCCCCTAATCCTTCACTTCCTTTTGAGCACTGACCCTCATATTCTTCAGCTCATCTGCTGTGCCGTCCTAACCAGGGCCCTCCCTCCTAGAAACTAAAGCAGGCCCCATCAACCTCGGGGCCAGGGAGCTCTACCTCTTTCTGCTCTGGTAGCTGTGGGTCTTTACAGTTGATGTGCCATCAGCAAAGTCAGCCTCTCTCTCATTGGTGCCATGGTGTTTCATACTCTTTATGTGTCTATCAGGCTTCTCGCTGACCAAATTGGGCGTCCTACTCTGGATACCAATCTGTAAGGGCATGGGGGAACTGGGGTGGCAACCGTAAGGCTATTTTTGTTTTTATTGTCTGACTTTGCTTCAATTGTCCATTTGAAAAACTCATGCCAAATCTGATCTAGCCCCATTTCACACTTTAAAGGAAACAGTTTGCAGATTAGTACATGTTTCTATTCTCAGTGTTGCTACTCCACTCCCTACTGTCCCCTGTTCTGTTTTAATGTATGAATCATAGCAACAGTTTCTGCACTGTGTGTGTCCTATAGTGAGTTGTTGTCAAAGGTGTAGCTAGTAACCACCGCAGGGGATGCTGTGGTCTTTTAGTCCCTTCACGATTATGCATTTCTGTGTCGTGTGTGTGTGTGTGTGTGTCCATCTGACTGATTGAATCAGGGTTGCCAGTGTGCAGAGTGAACCGGGTCAGCACAACCTCCTGATACATCCTCCACTGGGAAGAAAGCGTGGCCTCAGACAGGTGAGGTGCCATCTTTGTTTTTTGTTGTTGTGTTATGTTTTTTATTTGTTTAGCTTTTTTCTTACACACGCACGTTACTGAGAAAATGGATAAATATGCTTCCAGAATTGTGTAAATCATCATATACTGTACAGTAGGTGTTATAAATGAAAATGAAAGCATCTGAAACTCCTCCTGCCTAGGCAAGTGCTGAACTTAAAATTCTAATACAATATCTGTTTGACAAATGCAGCAGTATTTATCAAATGTTCAATCTATATCAACCACAGTAAAAATCGTATTTATCAAATTGTATAGTCTTTTCTAGTTGACTATATTATAGTTTGCATAAAAGTATATGAACACAGGCAAGTTTCTACACTGGGTTGCATGTCATTGCAACTTTCCTACAGATGCAACGCCCACTGCTGTCTATTCCTAAAACTGAACCACGCGGCCGATCTGGAGCAAGGCTTTCCACGACCCGCAGGAGCATCCAGCCGAAGAACAAACCACTGGGTAACAGCACATTAGTCCTCATCTGTGTGTGTGGCCGTGAGATTAAATAAGGGGCAATGAAAGTACACCTTTGTTTGTTTGATATTTTAAAAAATGACTCTGTGACAAAAGAGCCAAACTTACCCTGCATTTCAGATGAGGCATACAACAAGGCAAAATCCTACTTTAAAAGCAGATTTCTCCCATAAACATACTTTATTTAATGTCTCTGTGCTGACTTGAACTGACCCTCCCTCCCCATTCACAACCTCTGTCTTTGTTCCAGTACTATTTGTTGTACCACCTGTCTCCAGACTGACTCTTCTCACTCTGTTCTGTCTCATGCCCTATGTTTCCAAATAAAGAAACTTTATTGGACTGTGAAGGTGAGACACAATCCTTAACTCTTCCTCTCCACCCTGCAATGTCCCACCCCTTCTATCTGCAACCTCACCCAATAGGGTGCTCTGCATGTGTGTCTTGCATCCCCTCCCAGTCCCTGCCTAGCCCTTCTGTCCCATCCCTGCCTTCACTCTCTTTGGTGGTGCTGATGTGTTAGCCAATCACTAGCTGATGCTGTCATCTCTGTTTTGATCATACATGCATGTGTGTCCACAGCTCACGGAGACCAGAAGAGGTCAGTCACCTTTACGGAGAATCAAGACCAGCAGGCGTCTGCAGTGGCCAGCAAGCCCCTGACTCCCAGCACTGTGGGTCCTCCAGCTGAGGGCAGGAAGGCCAGTCCTGCCCCTTCAAAGTCCCCCACGCTGGAAGTGCCTTCTGCCGCCTCAGCCACAGTCACTGCTGACCTCCACAGCCCTGCTAACACACAAGTAGGGGCAGCTGAATGTGAATGCATCTGATGCTGAAAACATTAAGAATGACACTATAAATACATTTATTTTAACTTTTTAATACTTTCTTTTTGTTAACATTGAAATTACTTTCTAAAACTTGATCAATCTCCATCACATTAGGGCAGTGGCAAAAATAGTGATTACATACCACAAGAGTTAAGGAAGAAATTTGCATTTTTCTAATTTAAGTGTGTTTGGTTGCCACCCAGGTCCATGCAACCATAATCAGCAAGGAGAAGAGAGAGCAGTGGGGCCTCCGCAGCAGCCTCTCCCCTCCCTCCTCCATCTCCTGTCCTTCCACTCCAACACCTCTGTCGGGGACCTGCTCCCCAGTGCCCCTTTCCCGAACCTGCTCCCCTCTTCCATTATCCCGCACCTCTTCTCCTCTACCTCCACCACTCCCAGTACTGGGCACAGCGCCTGCCCCAGGCCCCCCACCAGCACCACTGCTACCGCCACCCCCACTTCTTCCTCTGCCTCCACCAGGGCCATCCAGGATCCGAGAGAGTCCTGGGGACGAGGACACCACAACACTCCTACCACGCAGTGACACCCTGCTGCAGCTTGGTGAGGACGACGGCACAGAGAACCCCCTCCTCACCCCGCTGCTGTCGTCTCCTTCACCTCGGCAGTCACCCCTGCCTTTCTCCCCTGTTGACTTGGACCTGGACGAATCCCATGTCTGAAAGGAGTGACTGGTAGATTGTGTTTTTCTACCTGAAGCCTAAGCTAAATGCCATACAGATATCTGCAGGATAGGGATAACAGAGGTTGTGCAGCATGCATACAAAAATTAATATTTTAAAAGAAAGGGAATGTGTAGAGTAGTGTAGTGATGACAAGTATAGGGTTCTTCTCTTCAGGACTTGATTTCTGTGATTACCTACATCCCAAAAGCCATTTCTGTTTGGCCTGCAACAAAACTGCTCTCTGCTCAGTCTAATTTTTCCAGTTACAGTTACCACCGGCCAGGAGACATTATATTTCCAGGTTGCCTATCTGTCTTGTGAACACGATATCTCAGGGATGTCTTGAGTGAATTTCTTTGAATTTCAAATTTGAATTTCATCACATTTGGCACAAGTGTCCAGTTGGACTGAAGGAGGAGTTGATTAGATTTTGATGGTCAAAAGTCAAGGTCACCACATCCTCATGTCTGAATTTGACTGTATGATGGATGGATACAACCTTCAACTGGTAATTGTAGTTGAATTCAGACTTTAGGTGCACTTTTCTACATCTACAAAGCTTGTACCTCGCTCTGCCTGACTCCTATTGTAATATGTTTTATCTGCTCTTGAGTTGAGGGTTGAATGTATATTATAGCTTAAAGCTGCAAATTTATTTTATATTTTATCTTCATCTTTTAAATGGTTATATTTATCAGAGATTTGTTTTTCAATTTTGTCCTACATAGTTTATTGGAATTAATAAGATTAAGATTATTCAACAGAGGAAATA